GGATCTGCATGACTGCGGAGGAAGATTTTACCATGTGACTTACTTATCTGATTCATCAGATCAGCGCGCCGTAACACAGCAGTGTAAAGGGGTTAAGGTGGTTGGAGATGTATCTTTTGTAAAAGATAATGCCCAAAAACATTTAGTCGAGATTGGAGGATTTGGCGTAGATGCAACCGGAAAGAGAGTAGTTGTGGTTGCGACAATAGACAATTTGAAGGGCGCTGCTACTCCAGGCATTACAGGAATGTATCGTTCCTTCTTATACACATGATTTGTGTACCATATTCATATGTATATATTTTCAATAGAACATCAATCTTGCTCTTGGATGCGACAAACCGCTGGAATAAGATATGAAAAGTAACGCCCACGCTGATTTATAGTTCTAGTAATTCAAAATAATATCAGATAATGGTTATTAAACGTGTGACAACAATGAATTTCCACGCCTTTAAAAATATGTAACTGAATTACAAATACAAAAATTAAAATTATAGATAGTCTCGAAGACGCAGATAATCCTTCAGATTGCTGCTAGCAAAGGCATTTGACTCTCGAATAACGACAAGTTGTTCTTTTAAAAAAGCTAATTCCTGCGTCGATAGACGGAATACACATTAACCCTACAAACCAACAGATAAAATCCGGACTAGTAAACTAACAAATCCATTACTATTTATTTTCCTGGTAACGCTTGGTCAATTGAAAAATCACCCCCTTTTTTTTTTTTTTTTTTGCGAGGTCATTTGGTAAAGTCAGGTCGTTTCGCTGTAGATTATCCAAAAACCCATATTGTCTACTTATAAAATCTTCCTCTCTGACATTAAGGATATCTGATTTTAATGATCAAATTTATTGTTAATGGAGCTTCGGTGTAAAACGCGTTTTCGATTATATACAGTACTGTGCAAAAGTAATGAGAATTTTTTTGTGCACAATAAAATTTTATTTGTAACGCCAATGTTACTCCAATTAAAAAACGGTTTTACAGAGTAAATAACACATCAATTATAAATAAAGTTATGCTATTTAACCTTAGGGTAAGTATTATATTTAGCACTATACGTCTACCTCAA